ATTCTTGTGGTACCTTGTATTGTTTATTACCATTATTACTGTTATAATTGCTTTGATTCTTTTGTGCGCCCAACGATGGGCAAGAGAAGAAAGAAGCACCGGTGAGTGTTTTTGTTTTTAAATATTTATAAATGCTTAGACTTTTTAAAGTTTATCACCACGACTGAAACATTTCTCGACCTAGATCATGTTCTCTGTCGCTTTCCCGCTAACGGTAAATATTTACACATAACAGTCAGATTTATTATATAATAGCTATTAGTCGGTTAAGTATCTGAACGAATTAAGCACGCATTGTTCAGGTCATTATAGTTGTTTTGTTGTCACAAGATTCCAGTAAACATGCCCGTGCCTTCTCTATCGTAAATTAATAGCAATTTTGCGCGCGTGTCTCTGTCCTCTGATATAAACACGGTGGGAGTTGAAAAACATGAGAGAAGCAAGCCTCTTGCAGTTTTATATTTCTTTTATATAATTGTTCTACGTTTCTCGAGCGAAAAACAAATTTTGCCGGAAAGAGGTGTCTTTGTCATGTCCTCTGATATAAAGCACGGTCGTCAGCCAACCAGAGGCAGAGCGCGCGTTATATATCAAATATTTTATAATGAGTTTTAGAGCTTGATTAGCACCAATGCTTTGAAATTATTAAACATAACAAGTATGAAACTAGAGTTCTTAATTTACGTTATCCAAATTTGCTCTGTTTATTTCCTTGCAAATTTACTGTGATCGTGATAATCAACAGCTTATAAGGGAATAGTGATTAGAACAGCGATGGGGTTGGAGGTTGGGGAGATGTTTAGCTTCGTTAGGTTGTATGGATCTCTTTCTTCTCAAAGCTTGCAATGTATTTTTAAGAGAAATTATTTAAAGCAGAGTTTATTTAGTGGCCGCTTGTCTCATTGTCAGCTCGTCGAAATTAACACAGGTATCCAATGCCTTTTGGAAGTCTAACATGACGTCAGATTTATAAAAAATAGAATTACTGAGTATTCAATAATTTAATCCCAAAAATGACCTGTGATTTTTCGCACTATTTGTTAAAATTGCGGTTAGGGCTAACACATACTTAGGGTTAGGACTGTTTTCTTAGGCTTAGGGTTAAGAATTGGCTTAGGGTTAGCCTTGTGCTATTGTAGGTCTACATGGGGGCTTTGGGATAGGGTTTTGACCTAGTGCTWGTCACGTGACCGGCCTTCGCCAGCAAATTCAAACTCCATAGATGAGATCTGCACACAACATTGACCATGCTCAACTACCTCAAGTTCTTTGGCTATGCTTAAACATGAAGATGACCACCCCTAATACTTTCACTTTGGTGCGTTTTGTAAAAAAGGCCCTAATGGCTAGGTTTCAAGACAACCAACCCCATATCTCTCGACTGCCTTCATAGTTTTAGCTTAAACTTTGGGAAAATAATCAAACCTGTTGTACAAACTGATCCACGAAAGTTTGAAACGAAATAGCCAATAAATTGTGAAAAATTATTTTTTGATTAAACCCAATAAATGAAGCATATTGAACAAATCCAAATGKTCGTGATTAATATCACCCCAAAGTGTATCATTGGAACAGTTGGTGCACGTAGGCTTGGTGATCACTATGCTTTACCAATCCACTAGGAACAACGCCCGGTTCAGTTGTTCAACGTTTCTTCCGACGATGATCTAAGTAGCAGGGAAAGTTGCAGCGATAGTGAAATGGACTGTTGAGCAAGTTGAGAAACTTCCAACACCCCGCCCTACGTCACAAACCAATCTATTGTTTTCACGCTAACGATAGTGGGTAGTAGTGGGGACCGTAGTGTCAATACTACTATAATATGGTTGAATAAAATTGTGCAATTTGATTGGCTTGGAGGAGTGGTATTTATCCTTAATAATGGTATTTCAAATTGCACAATTTTATTCAACCATATTATAAACAGATAATAGCATGTTTTATACGTGAAATTCGGGATAAATACCACCTGACATGACTTGAGATATTTCAAAATTGTCACAAACTTCACTCGCTTCGCTCGTGAATTTTTTTTGACAATTTTGAAATTTCACGCGTTGCATTTATCCCAAATACCAATACAAATCATGGTATAACCTATACAAACACGGTGCAGACCGTTTATTTACTTTATGCGGCAATAAACGGTCTGCACGCACGCTAGAAAAATAATGGGATCAACGATTCTGGAAGGGGATCAGGGATCACRAATGTATGGAGTTTTGGGATCGGGATCACGTTTTTAGCGTTTTGATCCGGATCAACAGCAAAAGAAATATACCTCGTTACTAGCCTGATATAGTGTTTATGCAAATTTTCATACGAATTCAACGCTTTGTAGCGATATCACAAAAGTTTAAGTTTGTGCGGAGTTTAATTTATTCTACTTTTAGATCGTAAATAAAAACTTCGAAATTGGATAAACCATTCTTTCAACTCCATAAGAACTTAAGGTGATTTTTCTTTGATATAAAGCCATAATTGAACAAAATGTACAAAGGAAACCACAGTTTTTGAAGTCAATTTGAAATCAGACGCCACCTTGGATGTTCAAAGTTGTCATCCAAGATGGCGTCCCCAAATATTAACCAAATATTTCAAATCTTTATTCGCTTATATCTTCATCAGAAAGTAAGCTACAGGACTTAAAGCTCGTATTCTAGATAATCTGACTATGCTCTTTGTGACTTGAATTGCTACTTGGTTTTTGAAAAGAACGACTAATAAATTTTCACTCTGGGGGTTGCACACCAAGAATTCGCCATCAGCTATTCTGCCTTAGGTCATATATTATTGTTTGACATGCAATACATTCCGCTCCTTAAAACAAAGAAGAAGAACTAAAAGAAGGGATAAAAAAAGCAATATAAAAAATGTTCAAATGCACTAGAAGTTGAAAAAGGGGATCGGACAAAAGGGACCCTGTGTCCATGAAATGCTATTTAAAAAAGATTTAACAACCTTCTTTAAATACGCAGAATCTTATTCTATTCGTGCGAGGCTATTTACTTAATGAACTATGACACTGTGTTTTTTTAATAATCACAATCTTTCTTAGATGAGCAGACCAATCCAATGCCTGGGGACGAGGTGAATCAGGAATCCGAGGGTAAGACTTAAGTAATGGTCCGAGTAAGAAGCAGGCAATGGTTTTCAACCATTCCCATGAGAGTGAGCAAAGCAAAAAGGTCCACCAGTCACGGTGGTGGTTTTCTTTTGTCAGGTCCACCAGCAATGGCGGACATCTTTTGTTCAACTTTCTCTCCTGGGAATGGTTGATGAAATTTAAGGGGTCCATATTAGGGTGTACACAGATTGTACGTTCCCACATACAAAACAATCTCGTACCCAGAGCCCACACTTTTGCCATCCAGCGGATGTCAATGCATGAGAGACTCTTTAGGAATCAAGTTTTCTCGATTTCTGATTGGTTGAAAATGACGCGAGCGTGCATTGTTCTCAAGTCGGTTTTTCAAGTTTCCAGTGCGCGCTCGCCTTGTAGGTCAAGAAAATCATACTTTTATCGCATAAACACATGTTTTCACACATTTTTGTCTTTAAAGAGGTGTAAATACCGTTCCTAAAGTARGTTATGTGCTAAACCTTCTTTTTTGTAATTTTAATGCTTTAAAAGTAGAAAACAAAATTTACCTCATTTGCATAATTTGCGACGGAAAAGAGTCGCAAATCCAGTCGATTCCTCCAGAGTCTCTCACGCATTGACATCCGCTGGACAATTTCATTATTTGATAAAAATTAAATGCAGTGTATAGAACTGATTAATAAAACATCAGTGCTTTATCGGGATATAAAGGCTCATCATGTGACCCAATAGTTCGATGCTCATTGGACGAATAGATGAATTATTAATGAGTTCTAGAAGATATAAATAAAATATAAAAATATTCATTCAATTATCGAACCTTTCTTAATAACAGGAAATACCAAGTACAAAGAACGGAAATTGATGCTACAATTATGTTTAAAATTAGCTTGCGCTTTGTAGTCCGCATTCCTGCAGTCCAAAATGTTCCTGTCACATTCACAGCTTACCACTTTTTCTCAAAACTAACAATGTCTACTGAGCATAGATTGGTTTAGAAGCTAAAATCTCGATTATTATCAATGTTAGATTCATAATCTCAAATGTGTGGGGAGTTTATTCCAGCAAATTTCACTATAAATAGATGTCTAAATTCGTACTGTAGGATTGCAGTTAAGGAATATATAATTAAACTATAGAGCCAAAAAAAGCTTAAAATTTACTACAAATTCCTATTATATAGATTTGCTCGTACTCGAGATCTGATTGGTTAATGGGCATGCATTATTTCACGAGGACGCACGCACTCTAGAGAAACCATGTTGCTATTTCATATAAGCACAGTTAATACTTTTTTGACCTCACTCCACCATCTAACAATTGCCCTATTTCTTTATGACGTCACAGTATGTTTTCATCGGAAAACGATGTTAAAAAAGCAGGGGAAGTTTGGACAAATTTATATTTTCTACTAAAGTAGAACCTCAATGAATCGCGTTTTGATACATGTCATGTATAAATGATTGTTCTTGTACATTTTATTTGAAATACAGTCACTCCGATCCCCTCTGGCGACCATAATCCTTAGCGTTAAAACAATAGAATGTTTTGATGTGACGTCATAATGAAGTAGGGCAATTATTCGGTGCATTCCGCATGCATTCAAGCCGTCAATTTTTTTGTTCAAGACATATTGATTTCATCAACGGTTTGGTATTTGTGAAATCAATATAACAGTACATATTTTTATTTTGTTTAATCTTTTGTTACATAAAATTAAGGATCTATAATGTGTGCAATGAAAAGTAGTGTTGATCTTTGATAATTTTCCATATAAGAACAACTTTCATTTTTCAGGCTGACTGTGTTCTTATATAAATGGTTCTTTATTTCTTAAAATCAGGCCTGGGTGTTCTTAATCCACTTGTTCGCGGGTTTTTACTGTATATGTTTCCAGTCGCTAGCTAGCATGGAGATTCTACTTCAATTGATTAATAGGCCTTGATACCTAATCGCTATCCTTATAAATTTGACAATTTCTTAATAATGTCGAGCTAGTATAAGCTGGTGCAGACGTGCTAATAATTAACGTCGTCTAATTGATTGTTTAAATTGCAGTACAAGGCGAGTTAGACGAAAAGTCAAGAGACCATATTAACAAACTAAAGGACACGGGCCATCTGATTGCAGCAGACGTTGAATTGCAGTCAGATTGCGACAAGGTGAGAATAGGGTTAGTTATATACTGTGACGGTTAGGATAAAAAATGCGCAAGACAAGTGCTATGAAACAATTAAACAGATCATCACTAAAGTGAAGAGATATTGGGAACAATTTTTGATTTCACTTGAAAGGGAAATAGCCCTACGCATGTTCATGACTGCTTAAGGTAATATGCCGCTTTTCTTCACAGATAAACCAGCATATGAAAGCACCGTTTGATACTTTTGATGCTGTGAGCTACAAGGTTAAGCGAGTACCGGTGATCAAAGAGTTCTACATTGTCAAGGTGAGAATAATACTGCTGTTGAGACTGTTTACACGGTTTTTTTGTGGTTGTTGATAACGTGCTTTTATTAAAACCGTGAAATAGAGTGCTTGCACTTAAAGCGTGGAACAAATAGTACTAAATACTACTAGATAGTGTTGATTATACAATAGGAAACAAAGGAATTTGTTTAATCTATCACCTATTTTGTAGTATTTATATTTCACGCATTTAGTGCGGGCACTCTAAAGTAATACTGTTTTGTATTATTTTATGCTACACTAATACTTTTGTTTGCTTTTAGAGCAAACGTAGGAAAACCATGAAATAAAACCAAACTAAATACTAACAAATAGCGGCTATTTAGAGACAATTTGTCAGTATCAATGAACCAGAACACAATGGAAAATGAGTCCACATGGGACCCATTTTTCATTCATCTTTATTGCGTTCTGGTTCATTGATACGGACAATTTATCTCTAAATAGCCGCTATTTGTTAGCATATAGTTTGATTTTATTTCATGATTTTCCTACGCTTGCTCTATTCAACTACCGCTATTTTGTACAATAATAGCCGATTTGTATTATGGCGTCATGAACTACCACTACCAGAATGCTTTGCCAACTTTCTTTTGTAATGCAATTAGTGTTAATTGTTTTATTAATCTCCAAGGGGATTTAAAATGTAAATAACAAAGAAAATGCGCAAGACTCTCTGGTAGTTGTAGTTATCAAGTTACGCCATCGTGCAAATGTCCTATTAGTGTTTCACGCTTTTATTGAAAGCACTTAGAGTCATTTTCATCCATCTGTGAAACAATTGCCCTATTTCATTATGACGTCACAGTATGTTTATATCGGAAAACGATGCTCAAAAACAGCGTAAATTTGGACCCATTTATATTGTCTACTAAAGTAGAACCTCAATGAATCGTGTTTTGATATATATCATGTATAAATGATTGTTCATGTACATTTTATTTGATATGCAGTCTCTCTGATCCCATCTGGCGACCATAATCCTTAGCGTTAAAACAAAAGAATGTTTTGATGTGACGTCATAATGAACTAGGGCAATTACTATACCAGTCAGTGTTAAATAGTAACTATTAAGGTGTAGTAGGCTACCAAAAGGCAAAATCAAAATTGTGTTTGCCTATGATTTCTTTGTCGCATGTCATTAATTAAACTGTTGGGAGCTAATAGGGTGTAATAGTATTTAATAGTACAATTCCTATTTCACAGACGGATCAAAATGACTACAAGGGGTGTAGTAGGCTACCAAAAGGCAATTAAAATCAAAACTGTGTTTGCCTAATTAGTTTGTCGCATGTCATAAGTTAAACTATTGGGAGCTAATAGCGGGCAACAGTTTTTAATAGTACAATTCCTAATTCATTGACGGATGAAAAGAATTACAATTTTATAGGATTACACCAATAATCTTAATTAAATACAATAACTATGTCAAAATGTTAAATCTGCTAAGGAAGGAATGGATGAACCAACATGGGATAATAAAAACGACTATAGACATATATTGCAGACATATTTAGGTGACGACCAAAATTTTAAAACAGAATTTGTTTGCTTGCAGGTGTTCACTGGCAACAGGAAGAGGCCCCAAGCTAACGATTATCGTTTCGCCTATATTGTCAAGGAGGACGGCGAACCATTTGATGCTACAATACCAAAAACGTGGCAATTCAACAAAAAGGCAAAATTAGAAAAAGACATACTTGAGTGAAATTAAGACGAAACATTTTGTAATCTCAGATAATTTTCTAGCCTAAAAAGCCTCAAAATTACCACTTTTTATGAATTTTAATTTTATGCGTTTTATGTTCAATAAACCTTTATAAGCACGTATTGACGGTGTGATTTTTTTGCGCACTAAAGTAAACTGCAAATTTCGATTTTATTGAATGGGGTTTAGTGTAGTTTCCTCACAGCCGTTCGTTCCCAGTTCTCAGTTCCCAGTTCTCTCCTGGGGACGAGCCTCGTAACGGCTGCGAGAGGGGACAAGGTTTAGTGGTAGGTAAACGTACTTACTAAAAGACGCAATGACCTACAATGAGCTACAATGACCCACAATGAGCTACAATGACCCACAATGAACTACAATGAACTACAATGAGCTACAATGACTCACAATGACCCACAATGAAATACAATGAGCTACAATGACTAAGAGAGCACAACAGAATGGGTTTTTACCTTATTTTTATTACATTTTCGATATGATCCACCATCTTGAATTTTCGGCCATTTTGTTTTTGATGCCATGTACACAGGGAGTCCGCTAACTACGACAAACTGTTATTGCCACATATTTTTCTCAACAAATGAAAAAGTGACAAAAAATAAAAATAAAAGGGCCGTACAAACCCGTATCTTCCCGGCTTGAAGTTCCGCGCGCCTTTATTTTCTATTTTTACATTAAAAAACGCTGTCATATGATAAAATGCTTATTGCATGACTGAGTTAGGTCGGGCCGTACGGGAAAATATTTGGCTCTCGGTCATTTCGCTGCGCTCGTTCCGTACGGCATAACCTCGAGCCAAATATTATGTGCTTATTGACTGAGTGGGAGGGCCATTGCCGGATTTCAAACCGAGTGGGGACTGGGCAAAATCCCCTAATTGGATAGTCATGACATAAGACTTAAATAGAAAGAAAGCCCTTGTTGAGAAATGCAAAGTTCCAAAATTTGATGTAAATCAGTTCAATAGTGAACGAGTTACAGCATTTCAAACATTCTAAAATTTCCAAAGAAATGTATGTAATCTCGCGAATGTGTCCGGAAAATGGTCAAAATCCGGACACATTCACGGCTTCCCATACATTTCTTTGGAAATTTTAGAATATTTGAAAGGCCGTAACTAGTTCGCTATTGAACTGATTGACGCCAGATTTTGGTTTTTGCATTTCTCAACGTGGGCTTTCTTTCTATGTAAGTCTTATCTCGTGATTATCCAATTAGGGGATTTTACCCAGTCCCCACTCGGCTTGAAATCCGGCAATACGGGAAAATATGACCGAGAGCCAAATATTTTCCCGTACGGCCCGACCTAACTCAGTCAATAAGCATTTTATCATATGACAGCCTTTTTTAATGTAAAAAAATAAATAAAAGCGCGCGGAACTTCAAGCCGGGAACATACGGGTTTGTACGGACCTGTCTCGAAAAGGCGTACGGACCCCATCACGTGACCATTTTCCAAAGCTTTCAGTGAGAGCGCACGTAGGGCCGAAATACGGGTCATATGATAATTTCCCGTACGGCCTTCCTACTCAGTCAACAAGTACATAAGTCAATATGAGGTAAATTTTAGAGGTAGCCTTTCCAATACAAAGTTTGGAAGTTGATTTTTCAT